GTAATAGCCACTTGGGGAGTATGCTCAATACATGCTCTCTAAATTCCAATGAACTTGTCTACATCATCTCACTCAAGTAATGTTCACAAAAAATAAGTCTGTAATGAGCCTACTCGCTGCCATAGTATCTTGTTGGTTCTATGTGGGCAAAGCCCATTGAGGATATGAGGATTAGACCTGGAGGCGAACCCAGTGAAAAGTACCAGGTGACCCACCAAAACAGATATCACAAAGCTGTGCAGGAGATAGGTGAAAGATCAAAAATGTCCCTGCCAGATGGTCATCAGATAGATACTGCTTATTCCTCTGAATGAGAGAGGTGGAAAATTGCCAGTAAGCACATTTTAGATAGAAGGCCTAGTATTTAGCAATTGAGAAGAATATTTGTGTGTGTAATAGGCTCATATCGTAACTGCCAAAGATATGCCTACTTCAAGTTGTTCTGAGGTTAGACTTAGTGAACAAAAATGCTTATTTTGCATTTTGGCATCAGGATATCAGCTGAGACAGGGAACTACCCCCAAATGAATGCAAAATCATCAGTAAAGCCACAAAAGCGAAGCTGCTTAACTGCTCTGACAAGGCTTGTCTGAAATAGCTTCTTACTGTACTGCCTTTTCAGTGACTTTTTAAAAGGGCAGAAAACAGGGCGGTGTTGCCTCTTTTAATCAGTCTTACATCTATCCTGACTATACCCAAAACTGTTTTTGTTTACAGATACCCACTCTCTTTGCTTATACATCCTTTGGCCTCAGAATTCCTCTTGGGCCTGATTTTCATTGACAAATATCCTCTGGTGCGAAAGAAGTAGAAATACCCCAAGACTTTACGCTCTCTGAGGTGTAATCTCCAAATGACACTCCCAGACGTGGGGAAAGTGCCAACTGTTCGGAGATAATTGGCAATTGCAACTCATTAATGCATCCCCACAGGACTGGAGATGGGGATTAATACTGTCAGACTGATGTTGAGACCCATATTTAGAGAGCATTCTTTCTCCTTGCTCCCATTCTCTAATCACCCACCCTCCAAGCAAGTGAAGAGCAAGGGGCAGCACCAGCTGTCTCCCTCCAAACTATGGATTAGGCCCAGAGGAACAGGACAAGCAAGTGAGCAATTCAGATCCAAGACTATTGGTATGACTTAGAGGAGGTGTAAGGTGTTATCTTATCCAGGAAACTTTCCTTTTGCAAAGCGGAAACACAAAAACTGGGCCTGCTGCCTCAAAATCCTGCCAGTCAAGGCAAACAGCATAACCTTGCCTTATAGCAGGGCTATTAGATCTGTGCTGTAGGAATATAGACACTCACTAAATGGCAGCAACGCACTGCTATAAAACTCAAATTCTGGGCATCTGGCAGTCATCCATAGTTTTGCAGCTCAGTTTTGGCAGCTTGACTTCAGGGCTGGGTTGGTACCAGTTTGATGGGGATGTAGCACTTCTATCTCTGCTTACACTTTGGAGAAATCTCATGCAAGGGCTTTCTTTTTTTTTTTTTAATCGAGAAAAACAAATCAACTACCACTGAGCCATTCGATACATTATGGTCTTGATTTCAGCTGCCAGTTTAGTGCCCCCCCCCATTTGTTAATCACACACTTTAAACCAACAGGCAGGCATCTAAACAAAGGAATGAGAGAGGACCCTTTTGTGGTGGGGGAAATCTCGAGAACAAGCCTGAAACAATTTCAAATCAGTGGTCATATGAATCTCACTAATAAAACAGCAGCAGGTGAACACCCCCCTATGCAGGTCTTCAATCTATTGCCATTAGGGGACTAATTATCCTCTTATTTACTCTTGAGTTCTTACTAGCCAATAGGAATGAAGTAGCTAGTTTCTAGTCCATCTTTCCCGGATTAGTGGCAGTTCCCGTACATTAAACAGCTTAAACAGAGCTATAAAACATACTGAATCATCAAAGTCTTGGCAATGTGTGTATGAATTGAAGAAGATGGCTGCCTAGTCAACCACTTGGTAGCTTTGCCTGCAGTGCATAGCATGTCACAGCCTTTCAGTGCAGTCAGCCCCATGTTATCAAGAAAGCAATAGGTTATCATTGCTACATTTTATGTCAGCAGATTCAACAAGTCAATCATTAAACATCAAGAAATATTTTATCTGTTGTGAAAATCAAGTTCCCAGATCAGTCGACACTCAAATTGTAGCATGATAGGAGAGGGGTGTATGATATAAGGCAGTTCCATTTCCAAAACTTCCTTTAATAATCTGTAGCCAGAATTTGCTGTGAAACAGTGTCACAGACAAAGTAATGTATTATTTATTTATTCGTCGCTCAGTTTATATACAATGCTTTGCTTTTATTTTATTTTTTTGCTTCAAAAAAAAAGTTAATTACCATTTAAAAAAAAAGAAGCTTAGACCCAAAGGAGATCAATGTTTTTAAGATCTTTTCTTCTGAGTTCTTTACTTACTAAAAGATCCACTTATCCTCTTGCTTTTAATTAAATCTGTAGTATTCAACGCATGATGCACCTGCTTAGTCTTGGATTACAACTTCCAGCATCCTCAGGAAGCTTTGTCAATGATGAAGGATCCTGGGAGTTATAGTTCAATAACATCTGGAGTGCTATAATTTACTTATGTCTCATCTATTTTGGCTTAATGTGAAGTATGAATCCAACCCCCACTTTAACAGTCCCAAATCTCCAGAGCCCATGCTGAAAATATCAACTCCATTTGTTTATTTGTTTAACAATTTGGGCAGCCTGCCAACATCTACAGATTCCTGGGGCCAAAGTATTGAAAAAACCCAATTCTATTGGTAAACCCAAGATGGCTATCAATTCTGTTTTTTTTTTATTTTTATTTTTTTATTTCAAATTTATATACCGCGCCTTCTCCCGAGGGACTCAGGGCAGTGTACAGCCAGATAAAAACATACAATACAAACATTAAAAACAATTAAAAGAATATATATTAATTTGACCCCAGTTTAAAATGACAAACCAATTAAAAATATTTAAAAATATGTTAAGCCTTGGTTAAAAGCAAGGTGGAGTTGGATTGTTTCAATGGCTTTGAGAAATGCCAGAAGAGAAGAAGCTGCATAGGCCAGTATATAAAGATAATGGTTCCCCCACACGAGTGCTAGTCGTTTCTGGCTCTAGGGGCGGTGCTCATCTCCATTTCTAAGCCGAGGAGCGAGCGCTGTTCGAAGACGTTTCCGTGGTCATGTGGCCGGCATGACTAAACACCAAAGGTGCACGGAGCGCTGTTACCTTCCCACCAAAGGTGATCCCTGCAATTGTGAAAAACGGTAACACAAGTCACTTTTTTCAGTGCAGTTGTAACTTCGAATTGTCACTAAGCAAACTGTTGCTAAATCGAGGACTACCCAAATTTACTTTAGTTACTTGTGGGTTCAGTAAAGAATTGCTGAACTCATGCCAGGCCATGCCTCCAATGAAATCCCAATAGATCTTCTCAGTAAGATCTGCTGAGGACCCAAACACTTGTCATCTGTGGCCTCTGGCTCACAAAACACTCTGGGGAGCCAAGCACATTCCACAGCCCTTCCCATCGGCTTGATGTGCAGGTTTCAGTCGATTATGCAGGATGATTAGAGCTGACAGCTGCTAGTTGCCAGTTTGTAAGGCTTAGAAGTATGATTGGGTGCCAGAGAACTCAAAACAAAGCGTATTTCTAATAGATTCTTCCCCTCCCCCTGCTTTTTCTTCCTAAGCTTGCTGCATACTGATTCTCTGGGGCCGATTCCTTTTTTTTTTTTAAGTTGTCAATCAGCGAGGATCAAAAAGAAAACTGAAGAAGTCATTTTACACCCTCATAATTCGTCCTGATGAACACATCTGCTCAGACAGAGGCTTATTGCTAGGGAGAAAATGGGGGTGGATGGGGGAGGGAAGAGAGCCATCAAAAGCAGTCTGGCACATGTGTCCAGGGAATATTATTTCTACCACTGATCTCAGTCTCCTGTTTCTTTACTCGGTCTATGTCCCTTTGTCTTGCAAAAAGCCATATGGTTGCCATAAAGCTAAGCATTAGCTGGAAAACAGAAGCAGTGGATGATAGAACCATCTCATGTTTAATATCTACCATCAGAATTCAGATACTGTACCCAGGCTTCTGTTTGAAGGAGGGAAGCCTATTGTCCCTATGTGGTTCCTAAGAGATAACAGCAGTGGAGAATAAGGAGATGAAATAGAAACAGAGGACATTCTATGGGGGTGGGTATTTGCCAGGTAATGCAAGCCAATATGAAAAATAAATAGCTATAATTCTACATGTACAGCCTGGAATTTGACCTAAGCTGAAGAGATTGATTGTGAAGAGTCAGAGAGATTGCTAAATGGAAAAATGTCATCAAGAAGAATTTCAATACTAAAAAAGGAAAAGAAAAAAAAATTCCACCAACCATTTTAAGCATGCATCTTTAAAAAAAGAAAAGAAAACAACTACACATGCCACAAACATACCCATAAAATTGATGCACTCTTAATTGGGGGCAATGACTGGCTGCACTTGGCAATTTAATTCACCCCCAATAAAATATCACAAGTTTATTTCATCTTAGTGTGAAATGAAGTGGTTTTTTTATTATTGAACTACAATAGTATTAACTAGGCGTATTCCATTTAATTTGCAAAATTACTCTTTTTAATAATCTGCTACGCTTCTCCAAAAAATTGATGGGTTGATTTCCAACCCAAAAGAAAAGCAGAGAGATAAGAGTTTCCTAAAACCACATAATCCAGATGTCCAATCTCAAACCTTCTGCGATAAATTCTAATGAGTATCCTCTGGATTTTTGACAAATTTCAGATTAAGAGGTTCATGACTTCACAGTGATATAGGTTTATGATGTAACAATGAATCTGCTTACATCAGATAAAGTAGCTGAACCAGACAGAAGATTCTCAAAGCTGGTACAATTTCCTTGCTCTACTCCACTTTTTATTTGGATCCAATTAACTATAATTTTATGGAGCCTTATTTGGAACTAGGTTCCCACTGAACTCTGTCTATGTTCCACCAAAACCTTTGTCTGTAACCTTTAACTGGGCAAAATGGTGCATTATAGAGCAAAATATTTTCAACCAAGGTAGCTGAAATGGGGAAACTTACAGAATGCATCCAGAATCCATTACTCCAGTGGAATTGAAATTTGGCAAATTTTATCGAAAGTTAATTGCATAAAAATCATTATAAAGTATTTTATGACATAATGCAGAATGTCATAAAACATTTTCTGTGATCAACTCCTGATGTTTGACCGTAGTATACAGTTTAACATAGGCTACTTTCAAGGCAGAGACATCTCTTAATATTTCCTTAAATTTTAAAGATTTTTTCCAGTACCTTAGGAGCTTTGCCATTGTGGCATTGAGGAATCTGGTAAGGAAATATCTCTGAAACAATGACCCAACAGTATATTACTAAAAGCTCTCGTGTCTTTTTGTTTATGATTTTCAATTGTGTGAAATTATTGAACTAAGATAACTCAAATGGGCTACCTTACAGAATGCTGGAACCCATGATTCCCATGGGAATGAAATTTGGGGAAGTTGTGGCTGCTTCAGTGCTACCAGACCTTCCATTTACACTTACCAGAAACCCACTGATTATGTGGCACAAGGAAGATGGGAGGGTCACATCTCTGTCCTTTTTTCCTCTAGTTCCTATAACCAACTGGTGGGCAGCAAGACCTGATAGATGAACAATTGGCTGTTTTGGAACTGAGGCTGAAATTTGAAATCTTTTAACAGTGGTGGGCAGCAAAGAAAGGACAAGGGAGTGACTTGGATGCCTGCTGGTGAGGTAGGACTTACTGGAGGTGTCTATAGTCAATAGATGAGCCCTCTTCCCCCTTGGAGGGAGGGGACCCTTTGGGATATGCTGGGATGGGGAGTGGGTATGCAGTTTTCCTTGTAGTCTTTGACTTCTTTTATTCCCTCTACCACCAGCAGACAGTTCCATGAGTCAGCTGTAGAAGAGGAGGAGAGGTTTCTGATGTTCCCTGCCAACTTGTCACAAGCAAAGTCAATGGGGAAGCTAGCAGGAAGTAAAAAATCACTTCTGCTCCCACTGGTGTGCCCAATTAGCTGGCAACAAGGCCCAACAGGTGAATGGCGATTGGCTGCTTTGTGAGGCTGGGCTGCCTGGGAAGCACCAGTGCTTAGCAGGTGAGCCCTCTTCCTCCCTGGAGGGAAATCATCCTTAAGGACATACCAGGATGGGGATAAGGACTGTAGTTTTCAGTGGCTGACGGCTCCCTTGTTCCCTTTCCCCTCAGCAAATTGGCAGGCAGTTCCATGGATCAGTTGAGGAGGAGAAGTGATTTCTGAGTTTCCCAGAAGCAATGTCAAATGGGGAAGCTGGCAAGAAGTTAGAAGTTGTTCCCATCCATGATGATTATATTTCTCTGATTAGGTATGGAAACATATTTGAAATGATGGCCTAATGGATCATAGGATGTCTAGTAAGTCCTATTTCTGTAGGAATAGACATAGGAATTGACTATCAGGGCTGTAATTTGATATACTAAAAACAGAACAGTCTAAATAAATATTCCTCCTGTAAATCTCTCTGGTATGGTTCTTGACTCAGATAGCAATAGCACTTAGATTTATATACTGCTTCACAGTGCTTTATAGCCCTCTCTAAGCGGTTTACAGAGTCAGCATATTGCCCCCAACAATCTGGGTCTTCATTTGACCCACCTCGGAAGGATGGAAGGCTGAGTCAATCCTGAGCCAGTGAGAATCAAACTATGGGCAGTCAGCAGAAGTAGCCTGCAGTACTGTACTACGTAGGTAGCTTGGCGCTTTCTTCTTCCAAAAAGGTTCCCCCCCCCCAAATTCCCAGTTGAGGCCAGATTTTAGTATTCCAACTCCACTTTCCAGAGGTGAGGGAGCCAGGCAAGGCTATACAAATATTTGAAATACCAATAATATAAATTCAAAACTTAGCCTGCTTGTTGACATAGTTCTCCATCTGCAAAATGGAAATAAGGCACCCCAAACTGCAAGACCATTGTCAGTCTGATGAAAACGAAATTTAGATATTTAACTAGAGCCATACATGGGCTCACACATCATTCTAAACCAGGGGTGAAATCTACTTACCTTCCCTACCGGTTCGGAAGTGCACATGCCATGCGCACACGCTCGGTCTGCTCGCACACACACACGCGTCACATGTGCGCATGGACCCTCTGCGCATGCGCAAACCCTTCTGTGCATGTTCAGAGGGTAAAAAACAGGTTACTTCCTGGTTAAAACCAGGAAGTAATAACAACTGGGCAGGTGGGCAGAGCCTCATGCTGCTGTCGCTACCAGTTCTCTGAACCACCCGCCGCCATCGCTACCGGTTCGGTTGAACCGGTCCAAACCGGTAGCATTTCACCCCTGCTCTAAACTGATGTTTATTAACTTTCATTGCAATTAAGCTAGGATTTCCCTCATCACCATCTTAACCCATATGCATAAGAATACATTTCTAGATTCTTTAGTAAACCTGCCATTATTTTTTGGCTTTTTCAGACTCTCCTCTTATTTTTTCTGAACTTTAAGCAGGAAGTGAACTGTTAACAGGGTATGTATCTTTGTTTGATACAAATGGTTCTTACTACCGGTAATTTGGCAATACATCCAGAGGGAACACGATCAATTTCAACTATGTTGTGCTCTCCAAGGTACTGAAAAGACTGTTGTCAGTTTTTCAATACTACATGGGCCAGTCTTAGCAAGTTGTGAGGCACACTCCATACTTAAGGCTTTGTCTCTTATTCTTGCTAAAATGACTGGAAAGTACACAATCATACAGATTAAATCTTTTTGTTTTTGTTTTTGCAGATATTGTTTACATTGGAGTCTCCTGTTTGTACCTTATTTGCTTCTTCTGTCTAATTTTTGGTATTTGTTTCACAATCACTACTATCCTGTTACATTTGGACAGACTAAATGATGCTTGGATAACTCTGCTACACCCAGACAATATTTATATAGTATGACAGAGACAAGGCATCTGTTAAAAACACAGTATGGAAGATACCAAAATACAGTCCATGGGACTTTATTCATGTATGGAAGCTTGGTTTATGGATTGAGCACCCAATCAAAAATATCTTTTGTGGGGGGGGGGCTTTATAGGGACATAAAGAAAAACACCCAATCTTATGCAGCTGAACACCTCATTAGGACAGGTCTTGTAAGCAGCTTCCTATCTGGTTGTCTGCAACATATGGGTCCTTAAAATCAGTTGTTATTCTCTGCTTTAAATGGTCCATTGTACACATTTACTAGGGAACTTATTTCTGAACAAAGATCTTTAGAATTAGGCTGTGTTTTCATAATAGACTTTTTAATGATAGAGAATGTAAGTATGATTAACAAAACCATACCCTCCATCAAAAACAGCAGAGTAGAAGAGAAGAGAGCTAGTACAGCACAATACCACTTTCCAAAATCTAAAACCCTGTCTTATATTTTTTTGAACCCTGAAATAAGCGCTTAGCCTTATTGCCATGCGCTCAAAAGCCCGATTGGGCTTATTATCAGGGGATGTCTTATTTTGGGGAAAACAGGGTACTCAAAAGAGATCTGTGTGGCCCAGAGTTAAACTGGAACCAGGAAGATCCAGGTTTGAGTCCACTCTCAGCCCTGGAAGGTCACTGAGACCACTCGCTGTACCTCTGCCCATCCCAGTTTACACAGTTATATTTTAGTGAAATATTGTGGTATGTGCTCCTTGAGTTCTTTGGGATTATAAATCCAATGAATCAATTAATCAGTAAAATGCCCCTGAGTTTAAAGCAGAAGTAAGGCCCTCAGAAATCTCTGAAAATTGTTCTCAAATTGTTGTCAGCTTTGGAAGTCATATTAACACCAGAAACTTCCACACTGCCACCTTCTTGTGCTTGGGAAAGTTGGAGGGGGGATTTGATAGAGCGATCTTTGTTAGACATAATAGCATTCTCCTTTTCGGTCAAAGTCATGGTGTTCCTGTATTGGAAGAGGAGCAGTTGCAGAGGTTTCTCAAGTTGGGACAGATGGTGATTGGGCCATGTGAGGGACTGATGGGTGCAGAGGCTGGCTATGGGGTTTTGATTTATTGAGGGAAAACCTGGAACTCTCAGATTCGGGTTTTACCAGATGTGCCAGTATACCTATTCCAATAAATGAAGATTTTGAGATGAAGATTGTCTTGGAGTTTTTAATTGGAGTTGGGTCATTCTGGAATGCTGACAATTGTAATTTTAAAGTGATGAAAGAGAAAAGTTGTGAGACTAACAGTATTTACTTTTAAATTAAATATATTTAAAATGAATATTTATGCTTTAAATATTCAAAATTGAAACAATTTTGAACCAATTTTAAAATTGAACCAATTAATTTCATTTCAGAATGCAGAGGGCTTGTTTTCAATCAAGAAAAAAAAACTTGTACATTTCTGAGCTAAAATATGGTTTTATGTATAACACAAAGATATTTGAGGTTTTATATGTAATGCAGTGAGATGTGCACATGTGACTAGGTCATATATTAAGCCATGGCATATTTGACATTTTGGTTTGCTGAATGCAACTCACTGAATTTACATTATTCTAAACCAGGTGGACGATTGCTTAGTAAGCGCTTAGAAGCTGCACTTCTGGTGGTGGATCTAAATTACACTATGGTTGGGCTAGTGATGCAAAATAAATGAGGTTAGAATTGACAGATAGGTAAGGTTGGCATTTTCTGTTCTTTTCTAGGATTTTCATTGCCCCACTCCCATGTTTTAATTTTTAAATGAACCATAATTTGGGGTTTATAGTATAATTTCCATACGTCTCCCAATTTAAAATGGTAAGTTTTTCACCAAGTCTATTTAGAGGCATCCCTGGGGTCTGCATGCAGTGCTAGCACCTCAAATTGCCCATTTCTCTGCTATCAACTATGCTTTCCAAATGTTGGTTCTTACATCATGCTAATAATAAGCACAAATAAGCTACAAATAAGCAAACCAGCACGATAATCTTCTCAACAGGGTGTACAACCTTCCCAAACCTATCTCCTGGTCACATCTGGGAGGAAAGAGAATGGGAACAGTAAGCAGAAGGAATTAGTGGTTATTTAATGATTCTCTGCCAGCAAAATATTCCCTGAATTTGAAAAGTCCTTCACATAAAAGGAGCTATTTTGCTCATAGAAGGACCATCTAAACTAGGGGGTGTCAAACTTGATCGCGTTGAGGGTTGCATTGGGATTTTGTTTGCCATTGGGCGGGCCAGGGGAGGCATGGCCTGGTCATTGCGACCGACTGGGTGGGCATCGCCAGGCCAGGGGTGGCAGGGGCCGGTCCCTCGCTGTCTCCGGGACAACCTATGAGCCAATTCTGCGGTTTATCGCAGGCTGGATCTGGCCCGCAGGCTGCATGTTTGACACTCCTGATCTAAACCATTGTCTTCGACTTAAAAAGAAGCCTTTTCCATTTCAATAAACACAGTACATAACTCTGAAAAATATATACCAGGTAGTCCTTGAGTTACTACCACAACTGAGCTCAAAATTTATGCTGCTAAGTGAAACACTTGCTAAGTGAGTTTGCCCCATTTTATGACTTTTTTTGCCACAGTTGTTAAGTGAATCATTACATTTGTTAAGTTAGCAACATGGTTGTTAAGTGAATCTGGTTTCCCCATTGACTTTGCTTGTCAGAAGGTCGCAAAAGCTGATCACATGACCCCTGGACACTGCAACTGTCATAAATGTGAACCAGTTGCCAAGCATCTGAATTTTGATCACGTGACCATGGGGATGCTGTAATGGTCATAAGTGTGAAAAATTGTCACAAGTCACTTTTTTCAGTGCTGTTGTAACTTTGAACGGTCACTAAATGTCTGTTTTATAAATTGAGGACTACCTGTTTCACACTTCAGAAAGGATCCTTTACTCTCAAATCTTTCAATACATGTACACATGCAAAATGAAATCTATACTTTCTCCAGTATTCCCCAAAGGATAGGATGACCCCCATAAGAACTCTGTCTCCTTCCCTACTGCCCTCATCATTTCATTGCAGGTTCCCCCTAAAATGTGATCTTCACCTATGTATTTCACTGTGATCTTCTCCCAACATCTGGCTGCCTCCAGCGCTTCAGTCTAGTTTCCAAACAGATTTAGAGAAGTCGTAAATCTATCAGCTTCCATAAGGCTTTTAGCAAACATTGGTGGCATAGAGGTGACTTAGAAAAACTAACTTTCATTCATTTCATAAATGTTTCCCTGCTTGTAAAATGATCCTTATTCATCAGGAGTAATTATATTAGCTGTTTTCAAACAACTGTGAAAATTGGTAATTGAGGGAAATTTCCAGCAGGGTTTACAATGACCTTAGGAATAGCTTCTTGCAGGATATCCTGTTGGGGTGCTAACTGCACTAAAAATCTACGTATGGCAAATTCCACAGTAGCATCTGATGCTACAATCTTCCCTGCCTTTATATCCCAATATAAAAGGTTGGCAGTTGTTTTGAATCAATGGTCAGGCTCTTGACTTTATATAAAAGACATATTGTTAGACTTTGAGAGCCGTGACAATTTTGCTAATCCCTGGAATTGGCGCAACCCTATTGTTGAAATGAAAAAAAAAAAGTTTATTAACCTCTTTCAAAGGCCAAGTGAGTTTATTTTAGGGCTCAATTTGTAGGGAAAAAAAGATCCCCACAATTTTGCTGACAAAATCGTTGTTTTATTGTGGGATTTTGACAGTGCAGGTGGGAGGAGGATCCCTATGAGCCACCAAAATAAAGCTGAGGCTCACACGAAACCCAAATGCCCTCAACAAATATCCTCTAATTAGCACACAAAAAAAGCAGTCTGGTGTCATCCCAATTTGAATACAGGTAGTCCTCGATTTACGGCCGCAATTGAGCCCAGAATTTCTGCTGTTAAGTGAGACATCCGTTAAGTGAGTTTTGCCCTATTTTATAACCTTTCTTGCCACCGTGGTTAAGTGCAGCTGGTAAGTTAATAACCCAGTTGTTAAGTGAGTCTGGCTTCCCCATTGACTTTGCTTGTCAAAAGATCGCAAAAGGTGATCACATGACCTTGGGACACAGCAACGGTCCTAAAATATGAACCAGTTGCCAGGCAACTGAATTTTGGTCACATGATCATAAGGACGCTGCACAGGTTGTACTGTGAAAAGCGGTCATACAGTAAGTCACATTTTTCAGTGTCGTTGTAATTTTGTACGAGGACTACCTGTAATTCCCACTATTTCTTGTGGTTGCCCAAGTGTCTGGAACTGACAGGAATTGCAGTCTGAAGTGCCTGACAATGTCTGTTTTTATTTTTATTTTTATATTTCTGTTTTTATTAGTTTATAATGTAGCATCCAAAGAAAATACAAATGCAAATGATAGGAAAAATAGGGAAGGGAAAAGGGAAGGGAAAATGCCTTCTATTGGCATTTTGCTATTGCTTTGGTGTTAATAGCAATAGCAATAGTACTTTACTGTATATACTGCTTCACAGTGCTTTTACAGCCTTCTCTAAGCGGTTTACAGAGTCAGCATATTGCCCCCAACAATCTGGGTCCTCATTTTACCCACCTCGGAAGGATGGAAGGCTGAGTCAGCCTTGAGCCGGTGGGACTTGAACTGCCAAACTGCTGGCAATCAGTAGTCAGCAGAAGTAGCCTGCAGTATTGCACTCTGACCACTGCGCCGCCACAGCTCTAAAGGTTGCTCAACTATTCCAACTTTCCGAGAAGGTCCCCCTGGGAAGCGGCAGGTAGAGCTGAGAGAAGACAAATAGAGTGGTCGATTGTGGGCTAATGATGCCGGCGAACATCTCCTCACAAGGCAGCCTAGATCATGAGGCATGATCAAGGACTTTGCGTACACAGAAGAGCAGCTGTTTACCTCCTCTAAAAGGAGTGGAGGGAAGAGATCTTCAAAGGCACAATTGTGGGTGATGACGCTGGGTTCAGAACTGAAAAGTAACTGTCAGCTCCAAAGCTCTGAGTCACCCTCAAAGCAGCTCATTATAGTGTCAGGCCCTGCCAAACTCTGTGGAAGCGAGGGCACCG